CAATACCACAGAGAAAACAACCTAAACAAAAATGACGACGGAAGATTGCCCAGCAAAAAGGAGAGAGACGGTAAAGCTTTCTGCTTCATTTGTTGAGAATGGGTGAAAGTTTTCCAAGATGAAAAATTTAAAAGGCATCATGTAGCTGCACATGCTCCCAAATTCAGTGTGTGACAGGGACAGCGGCAGGAGGGCAGAGAGCATCGCTGGAAAAGGTTCACTTTCTCAACACAAAATGTTTGAAAAGTCCCGGCTCAGATTCTATAGTAACAAACCAATAGTGTGGTGACATACCGTATAGCAAGAGAGTCAGAACTGCTTCCTGATGCTGATTTTCTTGAGCAGTGCTTGCAGAATGCTGCAAATATATATGCCCTGAAAAAAAATGATAACTCTAAAATCTGTTTGTCTCCCTAGAATACAGCCAGGCAAATGAAAGGAATTTGAAAATCTATCCAAGGAAGTCAGAAAAATAGAAGTACTTGCTTTAGATTTAATCATGGGCAATGGCTGACATCACTGAAGCAGCAAGAATGACTTCTGGGGGTTTGAATGGCCCCCGTGAGCTCCTGTGTTTGTATGCTTCATCACCAGGGAGTGGAACTGTCTGAAAGGACTACAAGGATTAGGAGGAAGTGTGTCACTGGGGTGGAATCTGAGGTTTCAAAGGCCTACACCAGGCCCAGTCTCTCTCTCTGCCTAGGAATCAGGACATAGAACTCTCTCAGCAGCTTCTCTGGCAGCACGCCCGTCTGTGTGCCACCATGATCCCTACCATGAAAATAATAGATTAACCTCTGAAACTGTGAGCAAGCCCCTACGTAAATGCTTTCTTTCATAGGAGTTGCCTTGATCATGATGTCTCTTCACAGCAATAGAACAGTGACTAAGACATGGCTCAATTTGCCGTTTTATTAGTGGTCCTTGTGAGAAATGCAACGTCATTCAAAAATTTAGTGTCCTTAAAAGGCGCAACATAATCAAGAAACTTATAGGAAGCAGTAAAACATACGCTAAACCCATTTTCTTTGTTCCCTGTCACCAGATCTGTTGTAGTTGATGCCCCATTAATGGTAGGTAAAAGAGAGAGACATATTGGGGTTTTTGTTTGTTTTGTTTTTTGTCAATACAGGATTTTTCTGTGTAGCTTTGGAGCCTATCCTGTAGACTCAAACTGGTCTCACATTCACAGAGAACTGCCTGCCTCTGCCTCCCGAGTACTGGGATTAAAGGCATGCACCACCACCATCCAGCTGAAAGACATATTTGTAAAAGTTAATAGAAGATGATACAAATGCCACTCTGAACTCACATTTAATGAAGTATCATCAAGAACTTTTATGCACAAAAGCATTACAGATGTATGATATGCAAATCATCAAAACCAAGGATTCTATAAAGGATGGGCAATTAAAATCCTTAGCAGTCCTGGAAATTCTTGTAAAACATTGATGCTGATTAGAGCAACATCATTGACTTTCCAGAAACAAGATGACTAAGTTAAAGCCAGATGATACAAAGAAATGTTATTATTTGAGACATGTTATCAAGTTGTTTATGGTCCCAACACTGAGTTTAATGCCCAAACTTGATGAAAGCTACCATACAGAAAATTTGACTGTATTTCTTTTCTAGATTTCTCAGGTCTTGACTTCCAGGAAACACGAATCTCTCACTTCAAAGTCACAGCGCACCCTTCCCTTCGCTTCTACCGCACCTACAGTTGTGAGCAACTGTTTTCAAAAGTGAGTCAAATAAGCGAAATTGGGAAGCACTTTGAGAGCTCACTGAGAATCGTAACCACTTCCATCCAACCTCAGATGGATGCAGTAGGATCTCAAATGCAATGTCAGAGAGTCCCTGGTCTGACTGCTCTGTGTTGCCCTCTTTTATAGTAATAAAAAATCAGTATGTTCATTCTCTTTATTGGTGATCCCAAATGATACCCATTGAACAGTTTTGAGACTCTCTGAGCAAGGTGATGCATAACTGGGATCCTTTTGTGAGGATATTTTTGCTTATCTGTGGCGACTGACGTCGTGAAGATTAGACACAGTAGTTTTTTAAAGCTCACTAGTTTTCATTAGCATTTGCTTATTTGTGTGACGCACGACAATTCTTTGTCCATTGTGACCCAAAGAAGCCAAAAGGTTGGACTCCTCTCCAAAGGATGGGCATACCCCTGCTCTAAAGGGTCACTCTGCAAATGGAAGAAGGACTTCAAGAGTCTCTAAGGTTTAGTCCTAGGCCACATCAGAAAATAGTTCATTCACTGTAAAAGAAAGGGGGGGGGAAAAACAAACAACGAACGAAAAGGCCTTCATTAGAAAGAAGCCCTAGCCCTAGAAAGGACAAGAGAAGAGGAAACTCCTACTTACCTGCCTTAAAAGACAGCCACGAGGCCAGCCTGCTTGCATGTGCCCTGTGCTACTTCATCCCGGCTTTGCTTATTCTTCCTTATTTCAACCACGCGTTCTCTTTTCATTTTTCTCACTTGGGGAATAGGCACCTATAGCCTAGATGAAGATAGGAAAGAGAAGTTGATTGAGGGGATGATTTGGGAAAACAAGAGGGACCTTTAAATATGCCATCAGTGTATCTATATCCCAGAACCTGAGTGACAGGACACAGTGGAGGAGAAACTAAGAATTAGCTGACTTTCCACATTGCCTGCCTGTGCCCCATTCATCCCCCTATCCCTCTCCTACACTCAGAGCCTCCTATAACCACATGGATTAGTGTCAGTGGGATCTGGACCAGGTCCTCCTCAATGCTTTATTTACCAAGAAACAAGCAAACGAGACCAAGCTTAAATCAGTCTTGAATTCTAACCTACGGCCAACAAAGACTGTCTGTAATGTGAGCACTAATCCCACTGAGCAGATGGGCAGGCCATTCAACCAGTTCCTCTTTTCTTTCTTGAGAGGCAGATTCTTAATTACACCTTCCCAACCACAGTGAAAAATCATCCTGTTATTATGTAATAGAATAACTTCAAGTGGCAATCACATATGAAAAACGTAAGAACATTGAGATACTCATAATTCTGATTCTATCTTTTCACAGACTTCTAAAGTGAATACTCAGAAATGTAATCAAATCCAGATTCCCCATTCCTAGCTAGGAATTCTCCATGGTCAGTTCTTCGCCCTTTAAAAAATGGATGCCATTCTCCTCTCCTGCTCATGTAATAAACACTTAAATTAAGTACTTAGCTTTCATGCTAAACAAACCAAAAAGGGAAATTTAAATATAGCTCTGGGCAGAGTGGTGATGGCGCATGCCTTTAATCCCAGCACTCGGGAGGCAGAGGCAGGTGAATCCCTGTGAGTTCGAGGCCAGCCTGGCCTACAAGAGCTAGTTCCAGGACAGCTAGGACTGTTACACAGGGAAACCCTGCCTCGGAAAACCAATACATACATAAATACATACATACGTACGTATATGCATACATACGTACATGCTTACATACATACATGCACATACGTACATACGTACATGCATGCGTGCATGCATGCGTACATACATACGTACATGCATACGTACATACATACATACATATATATATACTTGGATAAAATACAAACTCAGTTACTACTCATATTATTCCACAGTTCTTCTCTTCCTCAGACATTGTAAGACAACAAACAACATTTTCACAGCACACATCTGTGCTCGTTCTAACTCACCAGGCCCGTCACCTTCCGCTAATGCTCCACCGAGGGGCTGGGCTCCTCCTCACCCTTAATGCTTTCTTTTCAGTCCGCTCAAAAATCTTATGAACTTCTTCATCAAAATGCAAAATCGTTACAAGAGCAATTCCTTTTAGCTGACAAATCATCTGGCCCCGCCCTTCTTGTTGTTATTATATACTTTCTCCCGTCGAGGACACTCATCACAACTAAAAGCTGACAATGGTCTTGTTTCTACTAGTAAACACTTAAAGTAAATTTGCAATTTATAAAATATGAATCATGTAACTGGAATCCCCTAATGATCCACAGGATCACGCTATTGTGAAATGACACCGTTTAGTATTTAAATGGCAAATTTTAAAAACAAAAAGGGGGTATCTACACCCACTAAGTCCTCGCATACTATGCTACATTTAGCCATGCTAAGTTTTATTTTATTTTATTTTATTGTATTGTATTGTATTGTATTTTTGCAACCAAAAAAAAAGCGTTTTGCTCTAAAGGAGACAAAGCCTAAAGTATATGTTTAATGGAAAGACTTGGAAACTAACCAACAGAAAGAGCCAGAAGCTCTTCTAACATCAGGGTGAGGTTACGCTTGTCTTTCCAGAAGTGACCGGAGGCCCAGATGGCTCCTGCTTGATGCATCTGACCAGGACACATCCCAGAGACCACTGTCCACATGAAGTGTCAGATGTACAATAAACCCATCAAGGGGAGATGTACCTAGAGATAGCTCTGCTGGGTTCTCCCCTCCAAAGTTCTTTTCTCACCCATTGCTGTATTGCTAAATGAGTGAAGATGAGATTCACAAATCGTTTCAGTAAAAAATTACAAAACCGAGCCCAGTATTCAGGATTGTCCCTAAATTGGGGCTTTAACCACTTAATTAAATTACCCTGTGGTTTCACTGTCACGCTAAGCGGGATGTATTTGGAAAACTGCCCATCAAAAGCAAACCAGAAGGCTTATTCCAAGAATTTCTCATAGAAAATTCAATGTCTGGTTTTATTAAATATCTACTTGTTAGATATTTAATGTCTATTAATCTTCTGTTAGGAGATTTTGTTCTTTTTCTTCTGTTGAGTGGGATGTCCGCCGTAACACGATCGGCATCTGTGATAGCAGTCCCAGAAGCCAAGCCTGTCTGCACCTGTGGCTCACCTTTTGTGACGGCGGGATACACAAACAGGATGAAGGAATGGATGAGAACCGGGTGATAGATTTCCATGCGCCTGGGAAGGACTATTAAAGACAACCACTGTACGGGGTGACACCGGCTGGATTCATTAGCGGGGAGCCAGCATGGCTGACAAGTCCAAGTTTATCGAGTACATTGATGATGCTTTAGAAAAATCTAAAGAAACGGCGCTGTCTCACTTGTTTTTCACCTACCAGGGGATTCCCTACCCTGTTACCATGTGCGCCTCGGAAACTTTCCGAGCTTTGGACACCTTTGAAGCCAGAAGCGATGACATCGTGCTAGCGTCCTACCCGAAGTGTGGTAAAGAGAATCTTTTCCCGTGAGCGCATTCTGTGTTAGTTAGGTAGGGGAGGGTGCAAGGTGAAGGTGGGAAGAAGGAGCCTCGTCTCCACATGGAACTCACTGGAAATCAGCAGCAGCAGGGGAGGGCGGGGAGCGAGACAGTAAAGCAAATGGGTTGTAAAGTCAACAACTGAAAACTTGAAAAAAACAAAACAAAAATCCAGTAGGCTGGAGGAAGAGGTATGGCACGTGGGTGGAGGGAGGATAGGCAGTGCCAAAATAACTAAATATGAATATTTTTGACAGAAAGCAGAAGCATGACATTTCTGTCATGTATGTAATGATTTCCATGTGCTGGACTTCTTTTCAGGATCAAACACCAATCCTCCTGTTTCTCAAATCTGTTTTGTAAAATCTATCATCAACGGAGAATAAGAGATTAAAAATCTATTTTACTATATTTTATATCATCTGTTTTGTTGTTGGGTTTTTTTGATTTGGATTTTTGTTGTTTGCTTTAATTTTGAGGTTCAGGGTGGCCTAGAACTCACAATCTTCAGCGTCAGCCTCCAGCATGCTCGGTTGCAAGCGTGAGCTATTCCGTCTACTTCAGCTTCTTTTGTTTCTTTCAACTGCTGCTTATTAAAGCCCATTTCTTAACACTTTCTGTTCTCTTATTCAATGCTGGGATCTATTCCTATAGATCAATTTAGGATGATATAAATTATATAAAATAGATATTTCTCTAGCATAATATTCTTCAAGGAGCGCATTCTATGTGCAAATCACATCAGGGAGACACCTGTGCCTGATGTGGAGGTGAACATCAGTAATCTCTGGCAGGTGGTTGGTAAGTTAGAAACCACTGTGGGTGGGGTACAGTGCAAAACCCTGCCTCAAAACGAAAAGGGAAGTGGAGGGAGAGAGGGAAAGGGAAGAGGAAAAAAATGTGAATTTTAAAAAACTTAAAAATTTCCCAGTACTAAGGAGGCAAAGGCAGGTGATCTACAGAGCAAGTTCTAGAACAGCCAGAGTTACTATACAGAAAAATACTGTCTCAAAAAGCCAAGACCAAACCAAACCAAAAAAAAAAAAATCCTAAAAACATTAAATTCCATGTTAATATACATAAATGCTCTTTTCTCCAAAATTACGTATTTCCGCAGCCAGAGTTCTTTCTAACTCTAAAGAAGTGAATGTGCACATCATGGAATAATTGAAAATTGAAAATTTCCTCTTCTAGGGCGGCTGGAGAGATGGCTCAGAGGAATAGAGCACTGGCTGCTCTTCCAAAGGTCCTGAGTTCAATTCCCAGCAACCACATGGTGGCTCACAACCATCTGTAATGAGATCTGGTGTCCTCTTCTGTACTGCAGGATACATGAAGGAAGAAACCTATATAAATAATAAATTAAAAAATTTCCTCTTCTACTCGCTAAAGTGATGCGTCTTTGTTATTAAGACTCCTTAATGGGTTTCTATTTTCTGTCTTTTCTTTCAGGTTCAAACTGGATTCTCCACATCGTCAGTGAATTAATATTTGCCGTTTCTAAAAAGAAATACACGTGCCCAGAATTTCCAGTTCTTGAGTGTGGAGACGCAGAAAAATATCAGGTTAGTACAAACAGTCTTTTGACTTCAGTGAATGAGCGCAGGGAGACTCTTCCTCTGGAGCCATCACCTCTGAGTTCAAAAAGTATTAATAATATCATGCTAACAACAATCCCTGAAGTCAGTTCTTGTTTGCTTACCACATCCTCAATCCTCTTCTGGTCTTATCTCATTTTCTTACAAAAAAAGCCTAATCACCATTTCACAGAAGATGAAACTGCCATCCTTGCCCAAGATTAAGGAGATAATAAATGGCAGAGCCAAAATTTGAATCCAAGCTGTCTGATTTGAGTTCCGAAAGAATTTAATATAAGGCTGTCCTTACTAGTAGTAGCAATATTTTTAACTTGGGGGGCAAGTAATCCGAGAACACCCAGGAAATGAACTAAAGCCAAAAGATACCAGCATGGGTAGGATGCAAGGCAGAATCCCATCTTCGCTAATAAGACACTTTTAATTTCCTTATCTTAATGACGGCTTCTGTGAATGTGAGCAGCGAGGAAATGGTCAAGTCTGAATGAGGGTTCAAAGAGCCACACAGAGCACGTAGTTACTATCACTCTCTTTCCCAGCAGAACTGACTGGGACGCCAGTGTTCAGGAGTAAGGGGCAAGAGGGAGACTCTGCCTTGGGTCCTTGTGCTTAGACAGCAGGGAGAAGATGGACCAGTCTCTCCTGAGCCCTAGGTGTGTCAGAATGCGGAAAGGAGGGGAAGCTGGACCCAGAGGGACCCCACTACTGCAGTAAAACATCCGGAAATGTTAACCATTAAGTCTCTCCCGGAGCAGACGGAAGAAAGAAACACACTGGGTGGGAACTTTCGGGAACAGCTTCTAGGAATGACCGCACAGTCCACATGATTGACAAATACAAGCTTCAAAGTTCCACAGGTAGAAAGAAGGGAGTCCGTTTCCATGGGCTGCGGGAAGTAGCAGGAAAAGGCAGTTTGAAGGACAGCTGTTTGAGGACTTGATGCTGAGCGGGAGGCAAGCACTAAATCCTGATCCAGGCTGGCGTCCAGGGCACCTTCTGAAGAGGCAAAAGAGCGCTCAGCAGCCACATTAAGGCCCAGGGTCCCACACTTGGGAGAGTGGTCCATGCTCGAGTATATCTGATGGAGGCTCAGACAGAATAGGCTCAGGCTTCGGGGCCAGAAGAACGGACATCAGCTTAAAGATTTTGCTGAGAGAAGAGACAGGACACGCAGAGAAAAGCGAGCAGCTGTCACATAGCCTTGCTCCTAGAGACGGTTTAGCATCGCCTTTAGAGAGGATGCTAGCATATGACCAGCTTTTTTTTTTAAATTTTTAAAAAAGAAAATAAGCTATCTTTTTTCATTATACATACCAATCAAGTGACCAGCTTTCCAACCTATACCTTTAAACCCTATTACATCACAGCCTATGATCTTTTTTACTTTATTTGCCAATGTCATTACCTACCTTCAATACCAACAGCTTATTTTATGTTTGAAACAGGGTTTGGACTGTTGACTTGCATGTTTTCCCATTACGCATGGGATTGTTTCTCCATGAGAGTATATTTTAATTTCAAACAAATTATCTCAAACAAAAGTACATAACAGAAACCATTCGTAAGTGTGGGGGGGTACCCTGTGATGCTGCAGAGAGATTTGATTCTTTGTCAAGATTATGTTTTTCAAGCAGGATCTCATGTAGCCCAAGCTTGCCTCAAATTCCCACTGTAGCCAAGGCTGAGCGTAAGCCTCTGGCCCCCTTGCCTCTGCCCTCCAAGAGCTGGAGGCATGTTCCAGGCATGTTCCAGGTATGTTCCAGGCATGTTCCAGGCATGTTCCAGGCATGTTTTCAGGCATGCTCTACTACTTTCCCAGTTGCCAACCAAGACTTGTGACACGTCAGAACTTGACTGTGAACTTTAGTGTCCTTGGGACAAGGTATTCCTGTTCCTCAGCGGGGGTCATTCTCCTTCCCTAGCCCCACTAGTGTGACTATAAAGCCACCTGTTGCTACGGGCTCTTTCTAGAACCCTCCCCTTTCCGTCTTTGCCAGCTGTGGAAGGAAAGGTGCGCTTTCTTGTTAGGGAAAATTCCAGCTGTAGTGAAAAGATCTAAATGACTTTTGCAGCCAGGACATTCTTGAAGAATCTAACTCCATTTTAAATATTCACTAAAGAGGGCCTGGAGAATTGGCTCAGGGGTTAGAAACACTTGCTGCTATTTATGGGGATTGAGTTTGGTTCCTAGCACTCAATTGGTAGCCCACGACCATTCCAGAGTATCTAACACTGTCTCCTGCCTCTGTAGGCACCAGACACACGCATGTTACAATACATACGTGCAGGCAAGACACTCATACACATAAAATAAACATTTTGTTTTTAATTAATTAACTTTATTTATAGTATGAGTGTTTTGCCTGCACCATGCGCGTGCCTAGTGCCTTTGGAAGCCAGAAGGGGGCATCAGATCCCCTGGCACTGAAGTTATGGATAGCTTAAAGCCACCATGTGGGTGCTCGAAAGTGAAGCCCTCTACAAGGGCAAGAAGTGTCTAAACCACCAAGACATCTAGGCTGAAGGTTAGTCAGAACAAACCATTTCCAGTGTGTGTGTGTGTGTGTGTGTGTGTGTGTGTGTGTATTCCTTCCTGCCTTCCTGCAGAATGAAGCATAATTGTTTTCTTGTAATATAGATCACAAAGCCCCACTGACTAGCTCCAGAATTACCAGAAAATCTTCTAACTCTGTTTTAGGTTTTCATAACTGCAGTGTACCAGAAGTGTTTATTTTTTTTTTTAGTTAGACATTTTAGGGGCAAATTTCTATTTCAATTATAATTTAATTGTGTCTACTTTTTAATTTTGGGGGGATTTATTTATATTTATTTTATGTGCATTGGTGTTTTGCCTGCATGTATGTCTATGTGAGGGTGCCAGATCCCCTACAACGGGAGCCACAGCTGTGAGCTGTCAGAGAGGTGCTGGGAATTAAACCTGGGCCCTCTGAAAGAACAGCCAGTGCTCTTAACTGCTAAGCCATCTCTCCACCCCCAACTGTGCCTCCCTTTTTAACAGCAGTATGTCTTTTATTTTAAACAGAAATCAGTGAGAGGATAAGTTTAAGTTAATAGTGATTCAGTTTACAGACAACTTCCCTGAGAAATAACCACACTGACATCCAAAGGGGCTGTACCAGCTGCATTCCCACCAGCAATGCAGAAGTGTTCCCTTTACCCCACAACCTCTCCAGCATAAGTTGTCATCAGTGTTTTTGATCTTGGCCATTCTTACATGTGTAAGATGGAATCTCAGAGTTGTTTTGATTTGCATTTCTCTGTTGACTAAGGATGTTGAGCATGCCCTGAAGTGTCTTTCAGCCATTTTAGATTCCTCTGTTGAGAGTTATCTGTTTAGGTCTGTACTCCATTTTTTTTTTATTGGATTATGTGTTCTTTTGGTGTCCAATTCTTGAGTTCTTTGCATATTTTAGAGACCAGACCTCTATCTGCTGTGGGGTTAGTGAAGATCTTTTCCCATTCTGTAGGCTCTCGTTTTGTTTTGTTGACCTTGTCCTTAGCTTTACAGAAGCTTTTCAGTTTCAGGAAGTCCCCTTTATTAATTGTTTCTCTCAGTGTCTGTGCTGCTGGGGTTATATTTCAGAAGTGGTTCCCTGTGCCAATATGTTCAAGTGTACTTCCCACTTTCTCTTCTATAAAGTTCAGTGTGCCTGGCTTTTTTTTTGAGGTCTTTAATCCATTTGGACTTGACAGACACCTTCCCTGTAAGACACATTCAAGCGTCTCTGAAGGAGCCCTATGTAGAATTGGTCTTCATGTAGCCTTCGGCTCAGCTGCGTTACCCATTGGTTTGAATAAAGTGCTGTGCATCTAGTTCCAAGACAATTGCACTCTCTTCTAGGCTGTGCCGCTAATCCTCCTAGTAACTTTGTCATTCTGTATGAGTCCTTGTGTGACCTAGGGCCAAGCAATGGAGGAGGAACAGTACGCTATCGCTTAATCTGAAAATGACCATCTATTTGATGTTGTACAAAGCACCCAAAACCTCAAAGCCTAACTCTAATCTCTAAAACAGAGGCTCCAATGTCTGCCTGAAAACAGTGTTGTGAATGGATGTCAAGTTATTGCAAACGCCACCGAAGACAGCCTAGTGCCCTTCAGCCATCGTCACCACTGATCACCACTTGGACTCATACTGTTGATTAATTTTTTTTAATTTTTCAAAGTCTTGATTTATGTTCTTTTGACTTGATGTCTCCATAGCTATTTTTAAAGAATTAGCTACAAATTTCTGAATATTATTTTATCACTAGAATTTTAACATAACTTATGAAGCTTTGTGTGATCTCTTCAAGCGAAATGAAGCCTTGTCTTCCAAATAAAAATTATTTAAAAATTAAACACTTATAAAGAATATAAATTAAGAACACTTCACTATTTAAGAGTATTTGTTTTTCAGACAGGTCTCCTGTGGCCTAGAATTCACTGTTTGCCTAGCCTGCTTTGAATTCATGTTCTTCCTGCCTCATCCTTCCTAGTACATATATAACCATGCCTTGAGGTGTCCATAAAACTTTGTTCTTTTTAGTCATTGGTGGAAATAGATAACAGAAAATAATAAATTATTCTGTTCCGCAAGTGGACAAACATTTCATAAATCATTTCTCAGATATTTAGGTAACCCAGGACATCAATTACGTTGGGATATTTGATTGTATGGGATTAATCCCAGCACTCTGGAGGCAGAGGCAGGAAGCTCTTTGAGTTGGAGGCTGACCTGGTCTACAAAGCAAGTTCCAAGGCAGTCAGAGCTATGCAGAGAAACCCTGTCTCAGGGAGAAAATTGTATCTAGGGGCTAGAAAGGTATCTCAGTGGGTTAGAGCCTCTGCTGTACAAGAACAAGGACCTGAGTTTAGATCTCAGATTCCACATAAAAAGCCAGGTGCTCCCATAATTCCATTGCTGTAGGTCACAGGGACAGGGGAACTGCTGGGTTTTTGGCTGTCAGCCTAGATTCGTGTTCAGCCAGAGATTGTCTCAAAGAAACAGTGTGGACAGTGCTGCAGCAGGCCCCCAGGGCCTTCCTCTGGCTGCTAAGGTACCGGTACAAACACATACATGCAAACATACACATTCCACACTCACAGATATACATGAGAGTACACCCACACACACACACACACACACACAAAAGTTTAAAAACAGATCTAGTTGTTAAAAATGGATTTTAAGGGGGCTGGAGAGATGGCTCAGCAGTTAAGAGCATTGCCTGCTCTTCCAAAAGTCCTGAGTTCAATTCCCAGCAACCACATGGTGGCTCACAACCATCTGTAATGAGGTCTGGTGCCCTCTTCTGGCCTTCAGGCATACATCTAGACAGAATATTGTATATATAATAAATAAATATTTTTTAAAAATTTATTTTAAGGAACAAGTCTTCTGACTTGGATATTTCTATCAGAGGCCATGATAGAGAAGAGATACAAATAAAACAGCGAAATGTGGGTTCTGAATTTGCTTGAACAGAAAGAATTTAAGTGACCAAGATTGAGAATGAAAAGCAGGATCCAATAAAATAATTTAGGTGAGATTAATGATTTGTTTATGATTCTTCATGAAAAAAATTGGGCACAGAAAAGAAAGTTATTACAGAGTGCTTGAAGCCACCACTTAGATGCCATGCTTCTAGGCAACTGAACACACACACGTGCACACACACACACATACATTCACACACTCAGACACGCACTGTTTCATACACATATTCTCTCACAGACACACATCCACTCAGACATACCCTCCCACACATTCACATACCCTCAGAATGGTCTCACACACTCTCACGAACACACCGTCGTGCACACGCATTCTCTCTCACACACTCCTACAGTCATACACGCACTCACACACTCTCGAAGACTCACATACATTCTCTCATGCATATTTGTTCACATACCCTCTCACACACACACACATACACACACACACTCACCTTATTGTGCTATTTTGTAGAGAATGAAGCTGTTTCCTTCACCAAGGATCCTGACAACTCACCTCCACTACGACAAACTACCTCAGTCTGTCTTCAAGAGCAAAGCCAAGGTGAGTGAATTGAGACATATTAAAAGATTTATTTTCGTTTTGCATATGTATGTGTTTTGCCTGCATGTCTGTATGTGTATCTGTTATGCCCAGATCCGCAAAATCCCCAAAAACCAACAATGAGACCGAGTCCTGTATAAAAAGAAAAGAGCCTTTATTCTACACAAGTTTGCAAACTCGGACTCTCCGTCTGCCCAATGATAGGAATAACCGGAGAGCCCCAAGCTAAGTTAGGGTTGGGTTTGTATAAGTAGCATAGGTGGGGATGAGGGATTTCTAAGGTTCAGGACCCCAGATTAGCTGACATCTCTCTAGGGGTGTCCTGGTGAGTGTGCTGGCAGGTGATCCTATCTACAATGGTTGGAACATTAGAAATTTCCTTTGGATGGTGGTGCCTGGGTAGTCTCAGTTTGTGGTCTTTCTTAAAGTAAACTACTGAGACTCAGGCCCCTACTGATCTTCTCAAGGCTGGGTCCTACGTATTGAAACTTTTATGTATACGTACAGGCCATCCTTTTATTTCTCTGGATTTTGTCTTGACCTTGATTTTTGTCAGTGATAGAGATCAAAGCCAGAGCCTCACAGGTACTAAGCAAGAACTCTACCACGGAGCTAGTCAACCCTGCAGTTACCGGCTTTTGGTGTGATGAGCTTGCTCATACTCATGGAATTTGAATATGTGAAATGCGTAATGTAGTATTTCTTTTGTTGTTTCTTTCTTCCCATGTTTTTGCTGTGGCTGCATACAAAAATGCACTTCAATTTGTATAGAAAACAGACGTAGAATAAAATGTGCAGTTTATTGTCATCAGTTTTACAATTCATAGATTTCAAAATCTCACTGCTTTTAAAGAATATAGCCTCATAAAATTAGCAATATTTTTTGTTGCAATCTGCAACCATGTAATTTCTGAATTTCCCATAGAATAACAATAGCCATCAGACAGAATTGCTGTTGCTTTGGCTACTCTTACCATTTGCTTACAAATCTAGCACCAGGAGTGGCAAGGCAGGCCCGCAGCCCCAGCACTGAGTCACGCTTTGCTCTTATTCATCCATCTTCCCCGCTCCTCCCACCCTCCTGCCCCCACTCTTCTGGGTCCCCTTCTGCTTCATATCACAGGTATTCTCCCCCCCCCCCCCCTTGAGATCTCTTTTTCCTTTTCATGGTCTGCCTTCTATTTTCATGATCTACACACACACACACACACACAGACACACAGACACACACATTCTGCATATATGAGCTCTTCCTTTGAGACTGCCAGGTAAGGAGAAACAGGCAAAAGCTCCTAAAGCCCTTGAGGAGCAGGCTAAGCAGCACTGACTTGTTTCCAAAGGACTGGTGCTGCCCCCTGCTGGTTTCAGCGTCCACTTACGTGGACTTTTACTCTAGTCCAGAAACTTACCCAGTGGAGGAATCACCTTCCCGTTTTTTTCAGAAATCCTCTTGACTTTTGCCTGTTTCTCCATATCTGGCTTCTGCTGTGAAGGCGAACCCTAACCCAATCCAAACCAACCCCCGCCTCCTCCACACAGCAAGGGGCTCCCGCCCCGAAGGGATTAGACACAAACCACACCCAAACACCTGTTTTCACAGAGAGATCCTTTATTAAGTGAGTTTTAGTCGCTGCTCACTGACTCGGGCAGAAAAACAGCAGCAAAATGCCCTTGCAGGTGTAAGTTTTAAGACGAGAAAAGGGGAGGTCTATTTTGAATGGCCATGTTAATTAGGTGAACCAAAGGGGACTTTTGATTGCTGGACTTCAGTACTCTGATTGCTGGATCTTAAGTAGGCAGTCTCAGAAGGAGGAAGTGGCCAAATAAGGGAAGAGAACGTCGTGGCTAGCTTTAGAAATATAGCCTAATGGTTTACTGAGACAGAGGGAAATGGGGGAGACGGGCAAGGCCTGCCAGAGCCATAGGCTCAGAGTGGGCTAGTGTCGCTTCGAGCAGCTCAGCTGTGTCCAGGAATTGAAACAGGAAGTGTCTGAAGTCTTGCTTACACACGGAACACTCATGCACTCCCCGGCAATCCCTTGGTCCTCTAGCACCATCCCTTGGTCGCCTTGGGATTCAGTTTGATCTTTCCAGTGCTCGTTTCACAATTTTCATTCAAAGGCCACAACTGTCGTTGGAGAAGGGAACCACGGAAATGGAGGTTCCACTCCATCTGCATTCCTGGACTGGCGCCTCTACCCCTAGTACTCATAAACCTTAAGACTGGTTTACGATTATCTGGGATTTTACCTCAGTCTCCGAGACTGTGCTTGTCAAATTGCTCTGCTTTGCCTTTTCGTTTTTTCCTGCGCCTGCCCTTTGTGGTCTGTTTAGACCATATCGTCATTATTAGCTAAGGTCCTCTCAGTGTCCCAGACTTCCCAGCTGTGTTTTCCCACTGTCCCTCTTGCTCTCTGTATTGACACAATTGCGACGTTGTTCACCCTCTGGCTTTTCCAAAGTGCAATATACAAAGCTGCATAAATTAACTTCGTTTTTGTTCCCTAGATATTGGTGATATTTCGAAACCCTAAGGATACAGCAGTGTCTTTTTTTCATTTTCATAACGATGTCCCGGATATTCCAAGCTATGCCTCCTGGGATGAATTCTTCAGACAATTCATGAAGGGACAAGGTAAGCCTGTTAATAAAAGAATTTTTCCTTTGGCAAACGAACACATAATTTTGAAAACATAAATGTAAAGAAGAATTAGGAAGCTCTTGGGACCAAAAGGTTGTGTTTAAATGAGGTTTTACACAGACCTGCCAAGCAATTCCATGCGTCTAGCAATTACAATCCACCTTTGGTTTCAAAGATACTCCAGACCCGTGCAGAGACCTCTTAATACCACTCATGTTGTGGTGACCCCCACCATAAAGTTATTTTTATTCCTACTTCAGAACTGTAATTTTGCTGCCGTTATGAAGCATAATATAAATATGTGATATTTCTGATGGTCTTGGGTAAGCTGGGTGAAAGGGTCTTTCGGCCCCCAAACGCTGACCCCCAGAGAGCTAATGTCCTGGAGAGTTCAGTTGTTGGACCGTGACTTCTAAGTGGTTACAGAACAGATTCAGAAGAGAGATGTTATTTAAGAGTCATGTAGAAAAGTACTTCTGGGGCTGGAGAGATGGCTCAGAGGTTAAGAGCATTGCCTGCTCTTCCAAAGGTCCTGAGTTCAATTCCCAGCAACCACATGGTGGCTCACAACCATCTGTAATGGGGTCTGGTGCCCTCTTCTGGCCTGCAGGTATACACACAGACAGAATATTGTATACTAAATAAATAAATAAATATTTAAAAAAAAAAGAAAAGAAAAGCACTTCTACTTAGTTTCTCTTGAGCCACGGAATTATACAGTGTCGAAAAACCCAAGGAAGATTAAAAAGCTTTTAAAACCATAAGTTGTATAACTACACCAAAGACATTTTTGTTAGATTATGTAAACATCCTATCTCCAGTTATTAATAACTACTATTTTAAATTATTTATTTTAGTTCTTTGATAACATCATATGTTTATAATAAATTCTAGCCTTCTCTCTCCCCATTACCTTGTATTATTCTCCTTGCTTTTCCTTTCCCATTGAAACCTTCCTTTCCCTAACAATTCCCCTTCCTCCTCCCTGTCTTGTTTTATTTACGTGTGACTCGCTGAGTTTAAACAGGATTGCTGTTTTAGTTTTTTTTTCTGTCACTCTGTTAAGTAAAACACCACGTCCAGGAATGCTTATAGAAGGAGTTTGTCAGGCGGTGGTGACGCATGCCTTTAATCTTAGCACCTAGGAGGCAGGGGCAGGAGGATCTCTGAGTCTGAGGCCAATGCGGTCTATAGAGTGAGTTCCAGGACATCTGGAGCTACACAGAGAGACCCTGTCTCAAAAATAAACAAGCGAACAAACAAACAAACAAATAAAGGGGTTGATTCAGGCTTACAGTTCCAGAAGAATGAGTTCATGGTGACAGAGGAGCAGCGTGGTGGCTGTAGCTGGAAGCTGAGAGATCCCATTAATCTGCAGGCAAAAGGAGAGGGAGGGAACAGGAAATGACTTGCGGTTTTGAAGCATCAAGGCCCGCTTCTGGTGACACACTTCCTCAGCAAGGCCACACCTCCGAAATCTACCCAAAGAGAGCCACTGACAGGGAACCAAGTATCCAAATATCTTAGCCTACGGAGGACATTTTATTCCAACTACCAGTTACTTATATGAGCATCAGTTTTTATACCACAGAAGAAAGCGACACTCACCCCCCCCCCCCCACACACACCATTAATAATCATTAAGTCTCTCACTGGGGCCTTATGAGTGCTTTCTCCTTTCATGATGAAATAATAACAATTAATTTCCTACTATTGCTGCTTCTTCAGACACTAAATTAGGTTTGTAATAGCCATGCTTTCCCTTAAGACTCATGACCAACTGGAGTAAGGCCTACTGTATAGCTAAGAACACTAACAAGATGTTCTCTCAATTGCTAATTGCCCCACTTGCTTAAGAGGCAGAGAGCCTACGTCCATGAGTACCATGGCCAGAGGTATGTAAGCATCTCCTTCTAACAGTGGCTAAATTACCATAGAGCACACAGTATAGTCTACGCTCTTTAAGAGAACGTGTTCTGTAAGAGTTTCTCTGAGAATAAATTAATAAAGCTGAGAGTCCCTCTCGGAGGCAGTGAAGACCCAGAGACCTGACCAACTGCTTGAAAGAAGCAGAAGCCACCAAGTTGCCTGGAAGAGTTTTAGACCTTAGTCACTTGAAAAGGGCATGCTTCAACCTGCTGAGCTGCCTGCAGGCTATACTCTGTGCTCCAGGTGTCCTAGCTTTTGTGAGCTGCCACTTGATGGCACAGCTGTCTTTGGGTCACTTCTGCTCCTGTAAGTAACCCCTCACCCCTACTTCTGTGAGTAACCACAGTGAAATTCATGGTCCAGCAAGTTGGACTTTGGTGGTGTCCATACTTTCGTCTGCTGTAAGCTCGCTATCTAGGATGCATGGACGTTTGCATCTCCCCAGGGAAAGTTTTGCTACACAAAACTGCTTCTCTATGCTGATTTTAAAAATTGCTGCATTTAAGATGGATTCCATGTTTTGCTACATAATGAAATGATTACTAAAGTCAAGCATGTCTGTCCGACATGTCCAGCATGTCACACAGCTGCTTCTCTGTGTGTAGAGAAAGAATCACATGCATTTGCTGTTCCCTTAGCAACCAGTATTTCGTTATACAATTCAGTATTCATAACAACAGTCCTTATGCTGCACTAGATCCAGAAGTCTAGGTCACTACACTTCTCTTCTCAGTACTCCAAAATATCAAAGGTGTAGCTTTGACCTCCATCTACCCATTTGTTTCCTTCCCCATCCCTGCTTTCTGTATGTATTCAACCTTTAAAAAGATTCCTCGTATAGCTGAGACCAAACAGTGTTTTGTCTCCTTCCCTATTTTAGCTAGCATGATGCCTCCTAGGTTCATGTAAATGCCATGCATGCCAGCATCTCTATTTTCATATCCCACATTGTTCCTGGACACCACAATTTGTAAAGGCCACTTTGAAAGGCGTTTGACACAGCAGAAGCCACAGCACTCCACATACAGGGACACTGCATACAGGACTGGCTCCCTAGAAAAGATTAATATTGGACCGAGTCACATCAGCAAGGCAAACCCGTTAGGAGACGCTTATGAAGCATCGCTCAGCATGTCTCCATTCATCTAGAAACACTTCACAGAGACTGTGTGGAGTCAGGCGGGGTAAACCCATCACGCAGCTCCATATACATAACATGAGGAAACATTCAATGATGATGTTTGGTACTTGCGGGACAATCTAAAGAATCTACCCCACTGCATTCATTCTTTCTGCCTCCTTATTTGATTGGCAGTAAGATATGGCAGTGATAACTTGGACAGGATTTCTTCTGTGCAAAATTCTTCCACTCAGCTTCAGAGCAGCTGACCATATTGTGGATGCTGTGTCTTCAGCCGTCTCAGCTCCTGCCGCTGTAACTCCCAGCAGTGACGGACTGTGCTCTTGAATTGCAAACCAAAATAAGCTTTTTTTTTTTTTTTTTTTTTTTTTGCATAAGTTGCTTTGGTCAGAGCATTTTATCACAGCAACAGAAGGGAAACTCAGACACACGCACTTTGTCTGAACTATCTTGTCCCTCCCATTCTCAGGAATGTCTTATAGCTCTGGCCAGATCATTTTCATAACCTGCTCAGAAAAGAAGACATGGATAAAAATGGACAGGGAGAAAGGCGTATGCCACCTCTTTGGAGGCAGATTTGTAATAGGCATAATCTCCTTTGAACACATATCCATATGTTTGTATCTATTTTCCTCAGTTATGTAGTTACTTTAAAAGCTTTTTTCCTTTGATTTTAGTTTCTTGGGGAAGCTATTTTGATTTCGCAATTAACTGGAACAAATATATTGATGATGAAAATGTTAAATTCATATTATATGAAGATCTGAAAGAGGTAAGATTATGGTCATTTATATTCAAGGGCAATATTTATTAGTGACCACAACACAGAGCATATACTTGGGATGCCTGATTGTGTGAACAAATAGCGTATTCAATATTTAAAATTTTTGATACCTAATAAAAAACTAGAAGTCCACTACACATAAAGAAAGGCTTAGTTTGTTTGCTAGGTAAATGAAATAATGATTGCGGATTAATAACTGCTCTCTTTCCCTTTGTGATGGACAGTCCGTGTTAGCAATGGAAGAAAAATAGGTGGGGCTCAGTTAATTTAACCAAGCCTGCATTTGTTTGTGGGTTGAATTAGGGAGACCTACTTCCCTCATCCAGGCTGGAGAAGAAACTTGCTCAGCCCAGGAATGGGTACAAGGACTTCAAAGGGCTGTGCCACATATTACCCTTTCTCAAAAATTAATGGATGAATAAATAAATGAAGACTGATTTAAGAAAAACCTTGCCCCAGCAAACCCCACTGAAAGATGTTTATCTTTTCAAATATTTTTGCTTTCAGAATCTGGTTGTTGGAATAAAACAGATCTCTGAATTCCTTGGCTTCTCTCTAACTGATGAACAAGTACAAACTATCTCAGCCGGGTGCACCTTCCAAGCGATGCGGGAAAACTCTCAGGAGACGCATGGTGCTATCGGCCCCTTCCTGTTCCGCAAAGGTAAAGCGGCTCTCATTTGTGGGGTGTTGTGTCAGCCCCACGCTGAGAAGGAAAGCCAAACCATGGTGTCTGAAACAAGACAGAGTGTTGTCTTTTCTCCTTTAATAAGAATTCAGGACAGGGGGAGCCTGGAGCTGTAATTGGTGGCTGTCCACTGTCCTTTGCGCACTAAGTGCCCAGTGATGGCAAAGCAGCAGCTGGAGCTCCAGCATTCAGGACTCAGGTAGGAAAGGGAGACAGCAGAGGAAGGATCCTGTACAGTAGCTAATCTGCCCCTTCTGGAGTTTTCCACTAAGCCCCATTCAGTGGTTGCCTGCACTTATTCATCATCCCTCCCGACAGCGGTCCTTGGAAATGTAGTTTCTTATTGACACTAGGTGCATTGTTACTCACTGAAAGTCAGAATTTTGCTAATACACAAGGAGGAGAAAATGGTCACTAGGAAGGTAATTGGGTATTTACAGACAATTTTACTTCATTTCATTAGAGTATTCTAAGTTCGTATCAAGTTCTATAATTCTATAGGTTAGGACTTTCCACTTTCATTTTATTGAATATTTAATGAAAATATAACAATGTTTAAAATTTTTATTACACTTAGTGTGTGTGTGCCATGAGATGCACGGGGTGGTTAGAGGACAGATTGTGGAAGTCAGTTTATGTGGGACCTGGAGCTAGAACTCGGGCTGTTAGGCTTGGGGGCAAGCGCCTTCATCTGCTGGGTCACCCCATCAGCCCTATAACAAGACTTAAAGGTAGCATAGGGAACAGCAAGGATGAGCACAGCTAATGTGGGAACTGATTGCGTACTGACCGGAAGATTGTGTTAGGGTTAACGTTTGTAACAAAAGGAAACAAAAGATTTACTTTTGCGATGTAGGAAAAAAGCTGAAGCCCCAGGATGTTGCTTTTCTGTTGTCATACTTCAGGATTTGAACCGAGTCTATTCCTTATGTTAATTTTTTGACTCATCTATCTTAAATACCCAGTATGAACGGAAGATGAAATAGGAACCTGGCTGTAGCTGGATTCCTGCATAACTCTGCTTCTTATGCCTTATTCAGGGGGAACTAGAACCCATGCATTGTTCATCAAGTGTTATTTGGAATGGAAAACTCCTACAACGAAGTAAATCTGATGTTCCTTGTAGCGCGTCCAGAAGGCTGGGGAATATGGAAGGGCAAGAAAATAAAACACGAGTCATTTACAGATGTCATCAAAAATTTAAATTTCTCCCGCCTGAGTCAGGTTTTACTTTTTCACATGTTCCCTCCCAGCAATTTTCTGTTGAGGACAGTTTTGTCTTGTTTCATTTCCTTAATGCGTCATAACTGTTTTGTCATGTCGGTGAGCCCGTTTCATCAGGACACATTTCAGTGCTTGTGCGACATAGAGCAGTTCCAACTGAAAACATTCAAAGAGTCCACAGAAAGAAATCATTTATTTTTCATGCGTTTTTTTATCCTCTGTGTGTATGTACATTTGGGTGTGAGTATATATGTACCTTTGAGTGTGTTAAAGTTATCTCAATTCAGGAAATAACCAGGCTAGCTAAACGATAAACTATTATATTTTTATTTATTATAAGGAGAAAAACTCATGAAACAGGAACAAGAAGTCCAAGCTCAGTTGTGCCGCAAAGAGAGCGCATCTGGGCCGAGCAAAGACACACCCTAACTTGGTCCCGCCTCTTAAAGATACTTGGTTAACAGGCTTCCCTATCATCAGTGTATATGTACGTGTTGGAAGCTCACATGTGCATGTCACGGTGTGCATGTGGTGGTCATTGAAGTTGCATAGTGTTGGAGTGGGTGTGGCCTTGCTGGAGTGGGTGTGGCCTTGTTGGACTGGGTGTGGCCTTGTTGGAGGGAGTGTGTCCCTTGGGGTGGGCTTTCAGGTTTCAGAAGCCCAAACCAGGCCCAGTGGCTCTCTCCTCCTGCTGCCTGCAGATTCAGATGTAGGAGTATCCCTTACAACTGCTGTGACCAACGTGTCTCTTCTAATGGTGACAACTCCTATACAATAAAGCATTTAACAGAGACTTGCTTACAGTTCCAGAGGGTTAGTCTATGATCTGCATAGAAGGAAGCATGGCAGCATGCAGGCAGATGTGGTAGCTGAGAGTTCTGCATCTGGATCTGCAGGCAGCAGGAGGAGAGAGCCACTGGGCCTGGCTTGGGTTTCTGAAACCTGAAAGCCCACCCCCAGTGACACACTCCCTCCAACAAGGCCACACCCACTCCAACAAGGCCACACCCACTCCAGCAAGGCCACACCCACTCCAACAAGGCCACACCCACTCCAACAAGGCCACCTTTTAATCCTTTCAAATAGTGCCACTCCCTAAGCATTCAAATATTGAACCTATGCGGGCCGTTCTTATTCCGACCACCACAACTATGCCGCGTTAACCTTTCAAAGTGAACCACGGAAATAACAAAAGATAAAATTGGGAATCATACAGGATAAAGTTAAGAAATACCCTAACCTAGGCCTGAGTCTTTTGTCCTCTCTGTGTTATAGGTGAAGTTGGTGATTGGAAAAATTTGTTTAATGAAACTCAGAGCCAGGAAATGGATGAAAGATTCAAAGCGTGTTTAGCAGGCACTTCCCTTGGAGCCAAGCTGAAGTATGAGCCACATTGCCTGGCTTGATTCTGGCCAAGCTGGATGACTTAACTATTTTCTTTTCCCTAATAATAATTGGATTTATATAATTACATAATAATTCAACTAAATAGTCACATAATGACAATCAAATAACATGTAATTCTGAATAGTGAGGAAGTTAACGGCTGAAGTTTTTGAGCTCAAATTAAATTTTGTCCTCTTTGTGAAGAACTGGAACATTGCTGTCTGTGTGCTATTCTAGGGTTGGACTCACTCAAAATGGGCTTCCAAATGCTATACATTTTCTTAAGCTTTTCTCATTAGGAAATTTCTCATTATGGATCAAACATTTGTAGCAATTATCTCAGCCGTACTGGTGGGTGGAGTTCCATTCTGACTCTGCATTGGCATCAGGTTAACATGACGCAAGATTAGCAGCTCCAATTTGATTCGAGATAAATGCATCTTCATCTACCCTGGCACGCCATGCCCGCAGGTCCCTGGATGAGCTTCCCTCAGGAGTCCATGTAGTTCTTCTAACTACATTCTTTAAGTCAAAGCTAAAACTTAAGTTTTTGTACCATACAGATTTTTTTTTTCTCCTGCAGGGCAATAAATAGTCATGTGGAACTAATAAAAGAATATAGAGAATGTTCTAGAAAGATTATCCTCTCTGGCACTTCTCAAGCATCCTGCCACACAGGAGGCAGAGGCAGGAGGCTCACTACAAGTGTGTAGTCTAAACAAGTTCTAGGTGAGTTAGGGCTCCAGGCAGACTCAAAGCAGCAAACAGAGAAACGGGAAAAGACTGCTGGGAAACAGTGAGGCAGAGACTCTTCCTGGGCTTCACACGGGGATAGGAAGAGTTTGCCAGAGTAAGACGTGGGCTAGATCCCGCAGAATGGTCAGACCTCAGTGGTGGAGCTCACCTAGCCCTAATGAACTAGCCCAAGTCTGCCATAACAAAGAGCCAAAGCAAGCCTTAAGGATCAAAATGAAGGAAAATAATGTACTCTTTGCCAGTTGAATAAAACAGAAACAAAGCAAAATTACCAGTCAGGCATGATGCTGCTCCTCTATAATCCCAGAAAGAACAGACAAAGTCAGACAAAAACAAAAACCTCAATGTTTCCAAAATTAAATGATGAAAATAAAGCCCCCCCCCCGCACTATGTCTGCCATCCAATTGGGATTTTCCAAGTATGCGAAGAAAATGTAATGTACAACCAAGAACGAGAGCAATTAATAGAAACAGACACATAAATAAATAAATAAATAAATAAATAAATGTAATGAGAAAATCAGCAGGTAAAAACCTTTAAAGAGATAGTGTTCATCCTATAGCTGTGCTCAAAAAGCTGGGGATGGTGGCACATACCTATAATGAAGCACTTGGGAAGCTGAGGCAGGAGAATTGTGAATTAAAGGCCAATCTAGACTACATAACAAGATCCTGCCTCAAAAAGCTAACTTATACACCGAGGGTTTCAACTGTCTCCAAATAGTAATTCAACAACTTAATGTATGTGCTTTATATAGTGAGGGCATATATGCTCAAAGATATAGAGTAAAATAAACATGATGAGAGGGAAAAGGATGATTAAAGAGGACCCAAATGGAAATTTTAGAGGCGCAAACAACATCATGTAAAAATGAACAATATACTGTGTGAATAAAAAGTACATTTGATTGTGAAGAAGAAAAACCATGGGAACTGAATTCACAGCACTAGAGGCTACCCTCTATGAAGGAGAGAGTGGGGAAAATCCACAGACAGCATGAGCAGAGACTTAGTGACTTGTGGGACAATAAAGAAAATTCAAATGGAATTGGAATTCAAGAGGAAAGAAAGAAAGAAAGAAAAATGAAAGAGAGGGAGGGATGGAAGGAGAGAGGAAAGGAAAGGGAAAGGAAGGGAGGCAGGAAAGGGCTATGTTAAATAGATAAAGAACATTATGGCTGGACTGGAGAGATGGCTCAGGCTCTTCCAAAGGTCCTGAGTTCAATTCCTAGCAACCACATGGTGGCTCACAACCATCTGTAATGAGATCTAGTGTCCTCTTCTGGCCTGCAGGCATACACACAGACAGAATATTGTATACATAATAAATAAATAAATATTTAAAAAAGAACATTATGACTGAACTTTTTCAATTCAAATTATTAGAAATTTACAAACCCAAAAGGTTTAACCAACTCAACATAAATAAAAAGATGGTGCCAAAACACAAAAGGACAGGAGAGAAATGCAAATTGTTTACTCCAAAACTAAGAAGAGAGACAAGTTTGTCCCATAGGGACAAAAAGCACGTCCTCCATGAGAAATTCATTTGGGGCTCACTGAGGCTCTGCAGTCAATGGGCACATCACCTGCCCAGTGATCAGATCAGCCTTGATAACTCCATCCTGATAAACTCTCACTAGCTGCCACAGCTTCTGAAATGAGCACTGGACAACCCGGTGAGAAGCTGACAGCGAGGTCTCCATGCCACCTGCTCACAAAAGATTCTGCAGAAAGTAATGCCTTTAGTGAACACCCTCAGGGAAATGGCCGACTACTCTGCCCATTCCGGTCTAGGTGGCTTTCTCTAGCATTGCCAAAGGTCTCCTTATCACCATCATTCCCTCATAATGTCAGAACATCTGGCTGAAGTGTTAGCCACTGAAGGAGGTGCCCTTGGGTTTTCCTGGAGGCTAAGGTTAGAGAGTAAGTGAACAAGTTATGTTTTCTTCCTCTCCTGATTTCTCCCGATAGTCTCTGCTCCCTAAATCGTTGGGTGTTTGGTTCTGAGATTGCCCGTAGTATAGGCTGGCCTCAGACTTGCTCTGTAGCTCAAGAAGACCTTGAGCTTGCTTTTCCTGTCTTCGCCTCCCCAGTGTTGAGATTACAGATCTGCACCACCATGTCTGGTCACTGCGGTGTGGGGATAGAACTATGGGTGGCACATCCCCGACCTATGCTCCGTTCTTGAGACTGGATCTCATGTACCCCAGGCCGACCCCAAATTTATTCTGTAGCTGTGGATGACCTTGATCCTCCTTCTGGCACCTCCCAAGGGCTAGGACTGCAGCCGTGCACCTCCATACCCAGCTCTCCACCAGCAATGGTTGACACTACGATCTCATTTCATGAGGACCACTACTGTGCTCAGTCTGCAGGACACCATCTGAGCAAATCACGGCAGTCATGCTCAGATGCTAGAGAACATACCAAACTCCTTCAGGCCAAAGTCAGAATCACCTCCGTTCATATTTCTTGGGCTTCTTTTTTACAAATGAGTGGCATTCGTTTGTCAAGTAAACTATTTTCTTTCCATCATATTTTGTCCATATCCTTTTGAGGTATGATACCTAAATTAGGTATCCCAGAACCGATTAAACACCGCAAGCAGGAGACCTGAGTTTCTCCTTCCTCTTCCAGGAGAGCTTTACCAACATAGGAGTCAGGAAATGTTCAGAAACGTGGGAAAGCGCCTATGGCGAGCCGCCACTGTGGCTGAGCTGGAGAGCAGAGGCTATCCAGACTTTGGCTCCTGCCCTGGGACTCCTACATGTCGCCACGCCTACTTGTCCTCTCGCGGGTGCCACCCAGTACAGGAGGGGCTGAGTCCTCCAGGAAAAGGGAAGGAGAGTCAATGGGTCCGGTCTAGGCTTCCACAGACCCCAGCAGCAACTGTGAGCAGCAGCCTGGACGCGACCTCAGAGCCCCCATATTGCAATTTGAATTCTAAGCCAGGGCGCTGGCCACCCAGGAACGTGGTAGGAACTGAGGGCTTATGTTCTCACTTTTCCTGGACAGCAGTAGTGGGGCAGGGACCTATAAGGAAAGTGACAAACCCGATGACCTGAAACTCTAGAGAGAAATCTAGAAGCCCGAATGACTCGGAGACTTTAGCTGCACAGCTGTGATGGTAGCCAAAACAATCCTATACAATAAAGGATCTTCTGGAGGCATTACCATCCCTGACTTCAAACACTATTACAGAGCTACAGTGATGAAAACAGTGTGGTACTGGTATAAAAATAGAGAAGTCGACCAATGGAATCGCATAGAAGATCCGAATTTTAACCCACAAACCTATGAACACCAAACTGGCTAGGCTCCCACAAAGCCAGAACATGAAGTAGGATCAAAACCCAGTGCCATTGTCCTTGGCTTCTCATCATCCCTCATTGTTCGCCATGTTCAGAGAGTCCGGTTTTATCCCATGCTTTTTCAGTCCCAGTCCAGCTGGCCTTGGTGAGCTCCCATTAGATCAGCCCCACTGTCTCAGTGGGTGGGTGCACCCCTTGTGGTCCTGACTTCCTTGCTCATCTTCTCCCTCCTTCCGCTCCTCATTGGGACCTTGGGAGCTCAGTCCAGTGCTCCAATGTGGGTCTCTGTCTCTATCTCCATCCATCGCCAGATGAAGGTTCTATGGTGATATGCAATATTCATCAATATGGCTATGGATAGGGTCATTTCAGGTTCCCTATCCTCAGCTGCCCAAGGAACTAACTGGGGACATCGCCCTGGGCACCTGGGAGCCCCTCTAGGTTCAAGTCTCATGCTAACCCTAAGATGGCTCCCTTAATTAAGATATATACTTCCCTGCTCCCATATTGCTGTGGGAAATCTTACAGCTAGTGGTTACCCGCCCACTGGGGCGTGGCCTCTTATGCTATGTAAGCAGACACAGAGCATACTTAAGGCCTCTTTACCTGCCTCTCTGTGTCGGTTGCGGATTTCAGTTTCTAATCTTCGTTCAAGCAGAGGAGTCTAATTTGTGAGTCTACCCCTAAATAAATAACCATATATTTCTCAATTCTGAGCTAGTGGGGGATTTCTTTTAAGAGTCCTTCTTCACCTGACTCCCCGAGGGCTGGAATAACAGATGTGCACCAGCAAAACCTAGCTTTGCTTTTCTTAGTGAAATTTTAAAAGGAAAAGAAGTGACAAATTGTCTATTTATAAATTGCCAAGAAAATATATTTTAAGTGTCCTTTCCATACCAAAAAAAAGGAAGAAAAGCATATAAAGTGATAATTGTGGCAATTATCTGAATTCAGCCATTGTGTGGTGTATAAATTC